TGTTTTAAAGGAGGAATATAATTGGACACAGAGAATATTAATGATTGAATAAAAAGAGTAGAACTAAACTGCGTAGAGAAAAATGAAAGGTAGACATTAGAAGAAAATTCTCTATGTAAGAAAATTGGAGCATAGAGATTGCTTGGGGAAGTTGTCACTTATGTGTTTATTTGGCCTTTTCTTAAGGCCTCCAATGACAGAAGTTAAATCAATTGTCCAATTCCTCAAGTGGATTTCAATCCCATTTTCTGTGTATCTTTGCATCTCTATGGATATGTGGATCTGTCTTTTGGATTATTTAGGATCAAAGAAATCTGCTAGCTGAAACATCTGAGGATAACTTGGTTGTCATTATAAAGTGTTTTTTTTCTTTCAGTTTAGATCTGAGAAGACAGTGTTTCCCATAATTGCATTGCTCTAGGTGGTGTATGCTGCTCTGTGCAGTGACACAACTAAAAATTCCACATTGAACTCTGTCTGAAAGGGTCTTCAGCAGACTTTCAGTAACACATCCATAGAAGCTTTGCCACTTGGTTCCAAAGGAACTGTAAAGATGGGAAGACACTTTTGCACATGACAGCAATTAATGACATTTCAATACATATGTTCATATCGTATGTTCCCCCTACCATCTTTGTCTTTTTTAACTTTGTATTTTGTGAACATTTTATGCTCTTCAAAACCAATGTGTAAAATTTAAAGATGTAGTATGCATGTGCATCCAAGAGTGCTTTTATTTTCTCTGAGTGTCATGTTTGCAATTTTTTGTGTGCATTTGTAGGGACATTTTCTGTAGTAAAGCTTTCCCATTACCTATGATAAAGGGAGGTGGGGGGTGGATCGTCTTAAAGTAACAGTAAAGGAAAAAAAAGGGTTTGTAAGTGCATCGAGATTGTGCTGTTAAAAATTTAAGTTCCCTTATGCATTACACTTGTTTACTGGATGAATGACTAAGTGCACATTTTACGTGTGTGTCAAATGTATAGTACCTATTATGGTTGAAGAGTTCTAACCTAGGATTACTTGTGGTATATAATAAATTGGTTACAAATACCACTTTGCGGAAATTCTCATGAAACACGTGAGCTTTTTAATGTGTTGTCTTCTAATATAATGTGTAAACCTTTACAGTAAATAGAGCTATTTTCTTTCAGGAAACGAACTTAATTTAAAGCAGCATTGTTTTGTTTTCAACTCAGGTAGGGGGAGAGTTGGACATAGGCTTGTTGCTAAAGTTCTGTGTGCTGTCATCATCCTCTTGAGAGTGATTATCCTAAAGACATAACTGTGACTGAGTGGGTATCACTGAGTTGTCACTCACAGCTGGAAGAGTGATTAAGAGCAGCTCTTTTGAAAAGCCTGCCATGTCATGCTGACTTGTCACTGCCAGCATCTGTCTTGCAGAAGTGCATAGAAACACTTTTTTTTTTGTCAGTTCTGATGGATTATTATTAGTGGCCATAAGTAAACACTTGCTTGGTGTTTTTTTTCTTTTCCAGAGTAAAGATGGGAAAACACCTTTGCACATGACAGCAATCCATGGTAGATTTTCAAGATCTCAAACCATCATTCAAAATGGTAAAAAGGGGGAGGAAGTAGTTTTGTCATCAGCTTTCCAGTATTACGAATATTTCACTCCTTTTATATTGATAACAATGTACTGAAAATTTTTTTATCCAATGTCCATTAGTAGGTCAGATAATGGTGGAGTCTGGCATATCTGCTGTCGTGCTTTAGCCCCAGCCGGCAACTAAGCACCATGCAGCCGCTCACTCACTTCCCCCTCCCCCAGTGGGACGGGGGAGAGAACTGGGAAGAAAAACTCATGGGTTGAGATAAAAACAGTTTAATAGGACGGCCAGAAAGAAAGAAACAACGACGACAACAACAATAATAATACTGACAAAGGAATGTACAAGAACGAGTGATGCCCAATACGGCAATTGCTCACTACCCGATGATTGATAGCCCATCCCTGAGCAGCAATTTCCACCCCGCAGCTAACTCCAGTTTATGTACTGGGTGTGACGTTATATGGTATAGAATATCTCTTTGTCCAGCCTGGGCCAGCTGTCCTGGCCGTGTCCCCTCCCAGCTCCCCGGGCACCCCCAGCCTCCTTGCTGACAGGCCAGCACGAGAAGCTGGACTGTCCTTGACTACTTAGCAACAACTCAAAACATCAGCACGTTATCAACAGTTTCTCATCCCAAATCCAAAACCCAGCCTCACACGAGCTTCTGTGAAGAAAACCAGCTCTATCCTGGCTGAAACCAGGACATCTGCTTATAAAGTTTGATAAATCACATTGAAGAAGTGTTTATTTTTCAGAATGCAGGAAAATATATTAATTTCTCTTCCGTAACCCAGGCTGCAGAAAGTTTGTCCCATATGGTTATGTAATAAGCAAAACAAGGAGAAGCATTTTATTAGTAGTACTAAATACCACTAAAAGCTGTATAGATTTTAAGTCCAAAGTAATCATTCATGGACAATTATTAATGTTGCTTGAATTACCATCAGTGCTGTTTTTCTAACAAAAGTATCTGTATGCCTACATATATTCTTACTTAGTAATTACTTTTTATTACAGGAGCTGAAATAGACTGTGAAGATAAAAATGGAAATACTCCTTTGCACATAGCAGCTAGATATGGCCATGAGCTATTAATCAACACTCTGATTACGAGTGGTGCTGACACTGCAAAGTAGGTAACTTTACTGACATGAATGCAAACTGAGAGAATTTAGAAATGTATTTATTAGATTAACAAGACTAGTATGATTTTTTTAATATCATCTTCAACTTGAAATAGGAATATTTTTTGTGTATTATCCTGTATTGTAATTTTAAGTAGCTATACAGTACATTGCAATTTGTACAAAAAGAAAGAGAAATATATTTTCCTCTAATGTATTTGAATTAAAAGCTCTGAAAGTTTTAATAGACTGTTGCACTGAATTAATGCATCCTGCTAGAAAACTTAAAGTGTTTAATATGTGAAGTTTTCCTAAGGCTCGGTATTCTAATTAGGTGGTTTGCTGAACCCACCATGCACTTCGGTACACAATCATGTTTGTTTTATTTTATTTGTAATGAAACTGTGATACCTGATTATGGTGTATCTTAGGCGGGGTATACATGGGATGTTTCCTCTCCATTTGGCAGCATTAAGTGGATTTTCAGACTGCTGCAGAAAGCTCCTCTCATCAGGTAGGATGTTCTTTAAAAAAGATCTTATGGCTGCTTTTTACTTTGTTTTTTATTGCATCTAATAGCTTTTAATTAAGTCTTAATTTGGTAATATATAAAAATCTTTGTAGTTTGCTAGTAGCTTGGGGCCAGTGCTTGTTGTTTGTTTTTTTTAATGGACAGTTAAGTAGTTAAAGTAAATGCAAACTTTTACAGAAGTAATGAAAAAAAAAATTGAAATAGTGCATCTGTAACTTTTTAAAAGTTGTGTTCGTGCATTTTAAGTTGGCCATAGAGGTGAGATGGTTGGTTCAGACCATAACGCAACTTCAGAGAGCAAGACTAGTGAATGACTTCATTGAGTGTCCTCCATTTCCCTTCCATGATATCTTCAGCTTAGTACAGATCAGTCTATTCCTGTCTGATCCTATAGTGGGCAATTCTGAAAACTGCAGACTGCTACATTAAGAAACTGTTGCGTTGGTGGCTTATTGTTTATTAAATGCAACCCACACTGCACTTCACCTTCGTTGTTTGATTCCTCCCTGACGTTGGGGAGTGTTATAAGGTTATTACTTCCCTTGTCCGGGGTCTGCTCTGGTGTGAATTCTGAGCTCTCTGAACCATTGCAGTTCTGAGAAAGTAGATTTGTCTGAAGGACTGTAGAGGCTTCAGGAACAGAAGAATAATAAGAAGATAGTAAATGGCTCTATATTAATCTGAAGGCACTTCATGTTTTTAGAAAAAAGAAGAGTAGAGAGTCGGAGGAGAAGGAAGAGTAAGAAGTTGCTTCCCCAGCTTTATGCCTGCTAGGAAAGCCTGGGAGAAGAACTGAAGGAGTATAATTAAAACCACCACCAGTAAAGCTTTTTATTTCACTGTCCTGTCATGGACAAGCTTGCAAGGATTCGCTCCAGGAAAGAACTGTCCTGTAGTTGACTATATTTCAATTGGATGCATTCAAAAGGAGAAATTTCTTTCTCCTTTCTGCACATGGTACTGTGCTGGCTGTGCACTTACTGGAGATTCGGTATGGCAAAGGAATCCCTGCAGAAGACTTGCAAGTGGTTTACATGAGTTGAGCAAACTTAGATGTAAATTTGGCCTGGAGCAGATAAGGTCTTTATGAGTATGTTCAGCCTTCAGACTGGAAAGACTAGATACTGCTAACAGCTTATTAGTACATGCTTTTGGTGTGGAAATTGGTATCTGCAGACTATATGCTCTTTTTGGTTTTGTCTCATTTATGTAAATTCAGAATCTGATTCTTATATTCATGTGAAGACCTTAAAAAATTAAAAAAAAAAAAAATCATGTCTGCTTTGTCCCAGTACTGAATGGCATTTAAGTAGTTAGTGGTGTTAGACAAGCAACCTAGAGATGTGGAAAAGCATCAAAGACTACTTTTCAAATCAGATTGGTAAACTGTCTTAACTTTGCTGTGTATTACTGCCTATTGAAATGGGAGGAGAACATAGTGGCACATAGAAAACCCATGTTTTGGGGGCTATGGAGTAGGAAAACAGTCTTGAATAGTAGTACTCTTGAATAACATCCTGTGTTGATCACTATTTATCATTAATGAAAAATTCTTAAAAAGGAAAAAAAAATTGGATTCCCAGGCAAAAGTACCAAAACTGGAGATGTAGTGAGTAAGTTTTGTTAGACAAGAGCAAGCCTCTTAGGAGAATATAGACATTTTCTCAAACAAAAATGTAGCTTTGAAACCTGATTTAAATTGTAATCTTCATGTCAAAAGGTATGGTTAGATATTACACAGTTAAAGTGTGTAATCTCAAATTTGAAGTTCCATAGTTCACACATTTTGAGAAAACTACAATGTTCTCTAAAGGGCTTCTCTTTAAGTAATTGCTATTTACAGCCTTCACTCCAGCTTAAAGTTCTTCTCTGGGACCAGAGTTAAACTCAAGGCTGAAATTGAAGTAGTTTCTGGATTTAGTAATGCTGACTTCCCCCTCTTTATTTATTTAAAAAAAAAAAAAATCTCTGTGTAACACTGATAAATTCTAGCATATTCTTAATTCCCCTATTACCTTCATACATTTTATTTTCAATACTAAATTACACAGAAGTATTAGCAGGCAAATAAGGTAAGAAAGAATATAACCTCTTGCCTCAGTGCAGCTAATTGTCTTTTACTTTATCCCTTTCAGTTTTACTTGAATGCCTGTTTTTCAAAATATTGCAAATAGCAAGGATGTGTTTCAAATGAATTTTCAGTGCTTAAGTTTGCAAATAGCTGTTAAGTTTGCTTAGGAAGCATTTCTCTTAAGAGTAGATGAGAGCAGTTTTGTGAAAGGTGGTGGTTACATAATGATTTTACAAAATACTTGACAGGTTTTGACATTGACACACCAGATGATTTCGGCAGGACTTGTCTTCATGCAGCTGCAGCCGGAGGGTATGTAAAAAAAGTATTCGTGCTTTCCTATTTAGTGTTCTTTTTTCAATTGCTGATCATTCCTGTTCTTCGTATTGTTTCCTCTCTGTGCTTTTCCTGCCCTCTCCCCTTCAAATTTGTGTAAACATGAAAATAATTTCAAGATGGATTCTATCTACAAACAATAAAAATAAATTAAATATTCAGCTCAATAAGTAATTATTGGAGTACAGTGTCCAAGTATCATCTACCTTACCTTAGGTTTATGCTTGGGGTTGAACTGAATTTTATTTTAAATTCCCATGGAAGATGATGATGATGGAATTTTTAGAGTTTACAGCATTCAAAGATGGCATGCCCTGCTCAGAACACTGTAGGGCATAAGGTAGAGAACAGCAACTTTGGGAAATATGTTTTTACCAAATCTATAAACAAAAGATCGATCTAACTAAATTAAAAGCCATAATTAAATTCCAGAGTTTAGGTGGATGAAGTAGTCAGAACTACTTGCTCATCACTTGAGTTGTGATCCATATTGATTATTGTTATTGTATTGTAGGTTTTCTATAGCAGCTACTCAAAATTGCCTGGAAGAATTGGGTAATAAATTTCATGATACACTTTGTGGGACACAAGAACTCCATGATCTTGATATTTTCATTTTTCTGTTTCAATGTTGTTTAATACTGTTAAGTAATCATTCTAAGTCAAAAGATACTTGATAGATACATCCTTGTTGCAAATGACTAAGGTTAAAATGCTATCTTTTCATATAAAAACACATAATTTGTGACACATTTCCCTCATTCATCTCCAGTTTAGGAAAATTACTAAGATAGTGTTTAAACAATAAGCAGTATTGTACATCTTTTATGATTATCATATTGTATTGAAAATTAATTACACTAAAAAGTAAACTATTTATGTTGCAACTTATATTTGGCCTTAAAAAATACACTGTGCTGGAATCCTGGTAGCAAAAAGCATGTGACATGCAGGTGTTATTGTTTCTTTGCTTTAAAGAATTGAAATTTCTATTAAATTAGGTTAATGTTTTTGTGCTTTCTGCATGCCATTTGATATCAATAAAATTTCTGTATATGGACTTGAAATAATTTATATTCTTTCCTGATTTGGTCCTGCAATTATGAAATGTATTTTACATACAAAATTATATTTATCAAATTTTTCATATGATAGTTCAGTTCCATTTAAAAACCATGAGATGTATATGTGTAGCAGTTTTAATATTTGCAGAGGCCAATATTAGGGGAATAAAACTTGCAATCACAAGTAATATTGCATTAATTTAATAGGAATTTGGAGTGCCTAAATCTTCTGCTAAATACTGGTGCAGACTTCAACAAAAAGGACAGATTTGGGAGGTAAGACATTCTAGATTTGTATATTGTAAAGAGCTGTTAAAAGTATTACAGAAGTATCATATTGCTATGTGGGCATGTCTATGTGTTTAGTTTAAATGTTTTTTTAAGATAAGATGTCTCTAATAAACTGTGCTTCAGCATATGTTACCGAAGGTTACAAACATATCTTGTTTATTGTGTTTTGTTAAGTAGATGTTCAGTCTTTGTTTTTAAAAACTGAATTCCATATTCAACTGTAATTTTAATGAGCCTTTTTTGCTTATAACATGGACCTAATGAGTTTAAATTTCTCTCCTCCAAGGACATTAGTGATGTTTTCTCATAATGTATTAGTCAAACCTATAAATCAGTTGCTATTTCTAAACCTTTTTATTAAAAAATCCATTATTTTATTATAACTGCTTCACCGTTTTCCTTTCATGACATCCATCCCTTTCTGTTTCCTTGTTTGTGCTCTGAACTCTTCTGGAATCACATTAATTTCTATTTTTAGCATAGGATTATTTAAGTTTAGATGGCATGATCAGTACTTGTATAAAATCTCACATCACATCATGGAAAGTATGATTTTCCAGGATGTGAACAGCAGGA